TAACCAACTGGCCCCGACGAGTCGTCCAGGGCCCCCCGGACGCGCCCGCGAGGCCCCTAGAGGCCCCCACGAGGCCACAATCATGGCTCCAAGAGGCCCCCGAGAAGGCCCCCCAAGGGACCCCAAGAGACCCCAAGAAGCCACCAAGAGGCTTCGAATCATATCGGGTCCTCCCCCCATGAGATCAAGCGCGGGGGCATCATGCCATTTCTCCCCTTCCAGAACTACGGTCTCGGACAGCCCCCGCTCCAAGACAACCAAGACAGACAAAGACGGCCACGGGTGGTGTCAAAATGGCCCGAGAAGGCTCCCAACACGGCCCAAGGGGGCTCCGAGAGGACCCCGAAAACGTACGTACGCACCCACGAAACCGGTATCCTTGAAAAACATACTGACGTCGGAAATAATTAGTGTGAGAGCTTGTTCGGGTTTCGCAGCCTCCAAGATACCAGGATCGCCCCAAGATGTCACATAATGAGCCCGGCGCCACAGTGGGTCCAATCCAGAGGAAGCCTCCCAAATGAACCAACCGAACACGGCCCGGGAACCGTAAACGCTCCCGCAATGGGCACAACAAAACAGCTGCCCGAAGAAGTTCCGAGACGGCCCCACGAGAGCCCGAAGAGCCCGAGGTGGTTCGAACGTGGCCCCGAGAGACTTCAAATGAACCCAGAAGGGGCCCAGACAAGTGGCGCGACTGCCCCGCGCAGGCGGAGGAGGAGGAGAAGAGGGGGGGAGGAACAGCAAACGGAGCACCGGGAGGAGGAGGAGGAGAAAACGAAGCACTGGGAGGAGGAGGGGGAGGAGGAAGAAGAGGAGGATAAACCTTCGTCTCTTCATCGTTGCTCCCCCGCTCCCCTTTCTTATCCGCGCCGTCATAAAAGCTCAAGGCTGCCGATGGCAGATGTACTGAAAGCCGCTGCTGTTGTGGATTCAGTCTCGCAGCGGCGATCCCTGCACATTCTTTCAGAATGCCCCCCTGAGGGGTAGCCAAGCAACATATCGTGACAGGGGTTCGTTCTCTCCTCTACTTCCCCGTCCCGTATCGCGCCCAGCTCCTTCGACCTTTCTGCTGCTCCCGAGCTCCCTTGGACCCATCACTCCCCATGGGCAATGTGTGGACCAAGAATGAAGGCGAAGCGGAGATAGCCTTCAAAACCATGTGTTGTTTGTTCTAGAGATGTACACATGTGAGAGGGAGAGACATACACATATATATAGAGAGAGAACCAACACACATATGGAGGGAGAGAGAGCGGAACAAAACACAAATATACTAAAACAATAAAGAACGCGAAAGAGGAATAGAGAGAAGGATACATACAGAGAAAGAGAGAGAGAGAGAGAAACATAGAGAGAAAGAGAGGGAGATAAAGAGAGAGGGAGAGAGAGATCAACAACAACGAGCGAAACTATCAAGAAACACTGGGGAGGGAGAGAGAGAGAGAGAGCGAGAGAGAGACAGAGAGAGAGAGAAGGAGAGAGGGGGAGAGAAAAAGAGAGAGAGAGAGAGACACAAACAAAACGATCTATATATATATATATAGAGAGAGAGAACAACAAAAAAACACGCATAGGAGGAGTGCTCGGGCGTGGGAGAAGGGAGTGAGCAGGCAACGAGTTAGCAAGTGAGAAAAAGGAGAACCCCACATGGCCACTCGACGCGTTCCGGACGTGCGCCCGCGAAGCAGGTGGAATCCAGCTGCCCATGACAGAGGTAACCAAACTGCCCCGAATAGGGGTCAGCGATTCTGCGTGAGACAGTGGAAATACTACCGTGTGTGGTAGCGCGTGCAGAGTTCACAACCTTGGTACAGCCCAGCGCACATGCCTTCACGTGTTGAGCAAGCCCACGAGGCGAAACTTTGACAGCTCGATGATCAGAAACCTCATAGCGCAACCGAGGCCCAGGCCATCCCGACCACAGATGAAAGGCAGAACAGATGAGGAGGAGGAGGAGGAGGAGGAGGAGGAGGAGGAGGACAGGGAAAAGGAGGACGACAGCGATGACGAAGAGAGAAAGGGGGCGGAGAAGAGTTGGATAAGGAGAATTGGGGAGTGGAGGCAGTGGGCAAGGGAGGAGGCGGCGGAGAGGAAAAGGGGAAGTGGGACAGCGGCCTGCCCAAGAACATACCACTAGGGAGATGGAGCCGACGGCGGATCGGATAGACGCAGGATTGACCCTGGGTAAGAGCGACCTTTGGTGCGCGGCTTCTTGCCACCGCGGGGGGGCCAAACACAAGCGCGCGGACCCATCTGTGCCCGCACCAAAGGTCACTCCAGCGAAAGGTCACTTCTACATCAGGTCGAGCTGAGGAGGGGCGGGGCTGTCAGGGTGATCCCCGCCCCGCCCGTGCCCGGCCACCGGCCTGGAGCCCGCCCTTGCTAGGCAGGGGCGGCGGCGGCTGCTGCGAGGCCGCCGGAGGAAAGCTGGCCTTGCGGAGGTCTCCCGACGGCAACGAGGACGAGGACGAGGACGAGGAGGCCTCCTCCGCCCTCAACCTTCTCCGTCCTCCGCCATCCTCCCTCCTCTGCCTCGCAGGGGCCCCTCCTCCTCCTCCTCCTCCTCCTCCTCCTCCTCCTCCTCCTCCTCCTCCTTCTCCTCCTCCTGCGCGCCTCCTCCTCCTCCTCCTCCTCCTCCTCCTCCTCCTCATCCTCCTCCTCCGCCTCCTCTGGGGAAACCAAAAGGTACCGATACCGCTACCTTCCAGACCTCTCCTGGGGTGCGTTCTGACCATGATTTCGAGGCGAAACCAACGGTGGCGACGACGGAGGCGCAGGAGGCCCAAAAAGGGGCATACGAGGGGAGGGCAGAAATATGGGTACCTTCTCCTCCTCTGATCCTCCTCCTCCGCACAACTTCGGGCACCAGTGCCGCGACAGCCGTGGAGTCAACCTTCCCGCTCTCAGCACGGGCGGTGCGCTGGGCGAGGCTCTGTCCAGGGCCGGGCCTTCTGGAAGGGCGAGGGGACGGGCTTCTGCATCGAGGGCTTGAGCGGTGGCGGCCTGGGGCGGAAGGGGGCGAGGGGTGGGCAAGGCGGAAGGGGAGGTGTCAGGGGGAGGACGGGGAGATATAAAGGAGAAGAGGGCCGGGGGGGGGGGGAGTTGGAGGGGGAATGGGGGGATGACTGGGAAAAGGAAGGGGAGAAAAAGAGAGGGAGAGCGAGAGGGAGGAATCCGGGGACCCGTGTTTGCCAGGTGTTCTACAAAGCGTGTGAGACATTTGGCCAGTCTCCTCCCTCTTTCCCCCTCCCCTGGGAAGCAAACCCTAATTAGAAGGGTGGTCCCAGGGAGCTCACCGGAGGCTCCAAGTCCATCCTCCGCGGTCTCCAAGATGGGCGATGGCTCGAGCAGGGCGCCATCACGCTGGAGAGGCCTCAAGACCACCCAAGATGACCTCAAGACGGCCCCAAAAAACCCAAGTCAAGGGCCCCACGGCGTTCTGTGCTATGCTCACGTGTTCGCCTGCTCGGGCTTTTGTGCGAACCCGCGGCGGCCCGCGAGGCCCGCCCAGGCCCGAGGGCTCCAGAACGGCCCGCGAGGGAACCACAGCGGCACGGAGGCCCCCGAGGATGGAAAAACGGACCCCAAGAGGCCACGAGGGGCCCGGGAGAGGTCCAAACGTGGCGGCGAGCGAGCGAGCGTCCAGCCGGCCCCACTGGTCGCAGGGCCGCGCCCCCCTCTGGGCGGGAGGAGTCGGGCCGCGGCCCCCCCTGCGAAGAGGGTGCGAACCCGTGCGCACGTGCTCTCGCCTCGCGCTCGCGCGCTGGGAGCTCGCAGGGGCCCGCGGGGGAGCTCCCAGGGGGCCGCGGGGGGCACATCCTCACAGGACGGCCCGAAGGCCCCGAGCATGCCCCAGGAGGGCCCCCGGAGCCCCGAGGAGGCTCCCGCGTGGCCGCCCCCGAGGACTCCCAGAGGCCGCCGAGACGCCCCGCAAAACAGGCGCGGAGGAGGAGCACGAGCCACGATTGCACGCAAGCAGCACGGCGGGAAGCGGCAGACAGCACCTGGGACATCGAACGCCGCACGCATCTCCTCAGCTGGGGACCTGCGGAACTGCGCAAGCCTCGAGAGCAACTGAGATGGGAAGAGGGATCGAGGGGAGGGGAAGAAGAGCCGACGAGGGGAGGGGAGGGGAGGGGAGGGAGGGGAGGGGAGGGAAGGGAGTCGACGAGGGGACGGGACGAGAGGAGGAGATGGGAAGAGGGGAGGGGAGGGGATGCGGGGAAGGGAGAGAAATGCGAAGTGGGGTACAGGGCAACACAGGCGCTGCAGCCGCTCCTCCTCTGCTTCGACGGGAGGGGGGAGCACCCGGGCGAGCGGAAACTCAGACTCGGGGAAGCTGGCCCGAAGGCGCCTCACACGATGCAACCGTGGCGGAAGCCGAAAACAGAAATACGAAGCGCACAGAGACGTGCAAAAGGGCCCACCCTGAGAAAAAAAAGGGGAGCGGGCGCGCGGAGCGCGCCAGGGGCGGCGCTGGAGGCGCCGCCAGGGGTCCAGCGCCGCTCCGAGAAATCCGCGCGGACCTCTTCTGTCACTGTACGGTCCCCTATGAATAGGAGAGCCGAGACAGAGGCGTGAAGTGGGGTGCAGGACAAGACGGGCGCTGCTTGCCGCTCCTCGCGTGCGCGGGCCCTTTGGAGCGCCTCCCGCGGCCGGCGGCGAGGCCTGGGCCCTCGTGGCTTCTCGTGTGCACCACGGCGGAGGTGTCCTCTTGCGGCCGTCGCTTCGCGACGCTCTTGGTGCGTTCGGAGTGCCAACGCACAACTCCGAACACTGGCATTGATGCGTTGTTGTGCCCACGCAGTGTTCCGGCTGCGTGGCGTGCCAACCCAATCGTCCTGAGACAGCATGGCACATGCCTTTTCGGCTATATGTCGTGGATCGCCGTGCCGAGTCCACCGAAGATTCCAGGACCTAAGTGTCGTCTTGTGTGCTGGTGCTGTTTCTCGTCGACGTTCCTGTATCGTCACACGTTCCTGTTATTTGCCTCCGTGGTGATCCAAGAATCACCCTCGCTGGGCGATGCGTAGCCTCGTTTCTATTAGTCCTACCCGTACAGGGTTGCAAGGTCCACTGTGCCATCAAATAGTCGGCATCTGTCGAGCCATGGGTGAGATCGACAAGAAACCCCCTTGAATAGTGAGATACTGTTCCGTCCTGCTTGAACGTGCTCTTGTATAGCTAGTCGTGTCGGGTTGCAAAGGCGAACTGCCGTCTCGAATACTTATTGGTGTCTGTGTGGGTCAACATCTCGACGTCGACGTCGCCCACTTTTGTGTACCCTGGCGCCCTCCTACATTGTCATGATTCCACGTTGCGCCAGATGTTGCTCTTCTACGGATGTAGCTCCAAGCCCGCGTGCTTGGCAGCTTCAACGATGCATCCAAACATCCAACGTACCCTCGTTAGCGAAGCCCCTACAAGCATGACGTCGCTGGCGATAACAATAATGAAACGATCTCCGTCGAAGACTCCAACAAGTGACCCGTTTTCGCGCATTCCCGATTCGCCTGGCATTCCTCGAATCCCTCTCAGACCAGCAGTTGACAAGTACCGAACTTAGCGGGTGGCCGTGTTTTGCCAAGGGATCACTATTGGTTAATGTACGTTTCACCTGTGATTGAGTATTGCTGCTGTCTGACCACAGCACATACTCGACACTACATCAATATGCATGCCGACGCACTTTGTGACGACAGCTGAGCCAACAGTGCCTTGTGAGATGTGGCATTGCAAAGCTAATCTGAAATCCAAGGTGGCTGTCCATACCAGGATGGCATTTCCAATATCGTTGTATTGCAACCATATAAGCAAGCGGTCTGTTTCGCATGCTTTCCAGAAATCGATGGCGCCGTTCTACGATAGGTCCAGGCCATTTGCAGTTCATTCGGGAAGGAGTGCTTGTGCGTGATGGCATGATGGCTGATGCCAGGGAAGGAGGAGACGGAGAAGGGGGAAGGGAAGTGGGATGGGAGTTGTGCGAGGGAGAGGGGGAAGACACGAGCAAATTGATGCGTCGGGAACGTGTGGTGGATGGCTGAGATCCAGCATGAACAACAACTGACGGATCACTTCTTGGGTCGGGGCACCGTCCCCAGACTAGTGCTAGCCTATTGGGATACTCCTCCTGTAGAGGGACAGGCCCGATTTAGAGGTAGTGCCCAGCGGCCCGGGGGCGTCTGCGAAGCCCCGCCGCCGTCCGAGAAGGCCTGCCCCCTCGTCTCAATTCCCGGCTCGGCGCGCCGCCGCTCTTTCAGGGGGAGAGGGATACGGGTGGGGGAGGGGTGGGAGGGGGAGGAGGAGGAGGAGGAGGAGGAGGAGGAGGAGGAGGAGGAGGAGGAGGAGGGAAGAGGAGGAGGAGGAGGAGGAGGAGGAGGAGGAGGAGGAGGAGAAGGGAGATTGGGGGGGCAGGAGGACGAGAGAAGGACGACATGCGCGGGTGAGGGCTGGTGCGATATCACCGGGCAGGGTGGCGTGCCACGCGGGGCGGGGGGAGTGCAACGTGGGGGCTGGCCGGGAAACCGCGGGGTCGGCGCGGCAGGGCCGTAGCCTTCACCTGCTGTCCTCATGGCGCCCTCGGCAGGAGAGGGTGGACGGGGTGCCGAGAGTAGGGGAACAAACAATGACACTGACATAAGTTATCCAGGCGAAGGACCCAGCCATATGCAGTCGTGAGTAACTCGTTGTGGGTGCCGCTTTCGGTGACGCTCCCTATGGGGCCCCGAAGCGCGTGACGGACGTGCCGTATGTAATGGGTGGGGGAGACGCATGCGGGCGGTGCCACTGGGACCTTCGGTGGGGTTCCCCATGGGACACGAAACGTTGTACTGGGTGTGGCGGACGTATGCGGGCGGTGCCCCTCGCTGGAGCTCCCGATGAGGCCACGACACGCTGTACTGGTTAGGGGAGACGCACGCGGGCGGTGTCACTGGGGTATTTCTGTGGAGCTCCCTCGGTGCCACGAAATTCTGCACTGGGTGGTGGCCGACGCATGCGGGCGGTGCCAGCAGGGCATTCGGTGGAGCTCCCTATGGGGCCACGCAGCGCTGTACTGGAACAGGGGGGTCGCATGCGGGCGGACCACTGGAGCTCCCTACGGGGCCACGAAACGCTGTACAGGGTGAGGGAACGCATGCGGGCGGTGCCATTGGGGCTTGGTGGAGCTCCCAATCAACGGGCCGTGAAATGCAGTACTGGGTGGTGGCTCTGGGTGGTGGCTGACGCATGCGGGCGGTTCAACTGGGACATTCGGTGGAGCTCCTCATGGGACCACGAAGCGCTGTACTGGGTGGTGGCTGACGCATGCGGGCGGTGCCACTGGGGCCTTCGGTGGAGCTCCCTGTGGAGCCACGAAACGCTGTGCTGGGTGGTGGCTGACGCATGCGGGCGGTGCCACTGGGGCCTTCGGTGAAACCCCCTATGTGCCCACAAGACGCTGTGCTGGGTGGTGGCTGTCGCATGCGGGCGGTGCCACTCGGGCGGTGCCACTTGGGCCTTCCGTGGAGCTCCCGATGAGGCCACGGAGAGCTGCACTGGGTTGTGACTGACGCATGCGGGCGGTTCAATTGGGACCTTCGGTGGAGCTCCCAATGGGACCACGAAACGCTGTACCATGTGGTGGCTGACGCATGCGGGCGGTGCCACTGGGGCCTTCGGTGGAGCTCCCTATATGGGGCCACGAAACGCTGTGCTGGGTGGTGGCTGCTTCGGTGGAGCCCCCTCTATGGGGCCACGAAACGCTGTGCTGGGTGGTGGCTGTCGCATGCGGGCGGTCCCACGGGGGGCTTCGGTGGAGCTCCAATATGTGGCCACGAAACGTGTGAGGGGTGTGCCGAAATGGTGGACATGCGGAGGGCAGAGGCAAGGGATGGGAGGAGGGGGAGGGAGGAGGAGGAGGAGGAGGAGGAGGAGGAGGAGGAGAAGAAGGAAGGAAGGAAGGAAGGAAAGAAGGAAGGAAGGAAGGAAGGAAGGAAGGAAGGAAGGAAAGAAGGAAGGAAAGAAAGAAGGAAGGAAAGAAGGAAGGAGAAACGCGGGGCCGTCTCTTCAAAACGAGGGTCCAACACCCCAAGATAACTAGGAACAACTCGAAGGCCCGCGCACATTTCTCGGATCGGCGCTGGACCCCCCTGGCGGCGCCTCCGGCGCCGCCCCCGGCGCGCTCCGGGCGCCAGGGAGTGGGGTCCAGCGCCGATGCGACAAATTTGCGTGGACATCGCAATGTTTTGTTTTGCACGGGCGGTCTTGCATGTCTTGCAAAGTGAAGCCTCAGCTTCGGCGCTCCACGCCTTGGATGCGTGGCTCGTCGTGCTCCGCTTCGGGGCGCTTCATATGTGGGGCCTGGGGTCGCGCCTGGAAGGCTACAGGGGCCTTCAAACGAAGGGAGGCGGCGAAGAAGGCTACGGGGGCGCGTCCGAGCGGGAGGGCGGCTGCCTGGCAGGCCGCAGGAGCACAGGCTGCGCGGCCAGCTGCTGCGGGGGCGGCCCCGGGGGCGGCCGCATCAGCGGCGGCGCAGCCGCGGCAGGGACGCCGGGCGGCTTGGCCGCCGCGGGCGCTGGCGCCTCGACGAGGAAGCGAGGGGAACCCGGGGAGAAGGAGGACGAGGAGGAGGAGGAGGAGGAGGAGGAGGAGGAGGAGGAGGAGGAAGAGGGGGGAGGAGGAGGAGGAGGAGGAGGAGGAGGAGGAGGAGAGGAAGAGGAGGAGAAGGAGGAGGAGGAGGAGGAGGAAGAGGAGGAGGAGAGGAGGAGGGGGAGGAGAGGAGAGGAGGAGGAGGAGGAGGATGAGGGAGGAGGAGCGAGGAGGAGGAGCAGGAGGAGGAGGAGGAGGATGAGGAGGAGGAGGAGGAGGAGGAGAAGGAAAAGGGCGGAGGAGCAGGAGGAGGAGGAGGAGGAGGAGGAGAGGAGGCGGAGAAGAAGTAGTAGTAGGAGGAGGAGGAGGAGGAAAGGGAGGAGGAGGAGGAGGAGGAGGAGGAGGAGGAGAGTGAGGAGGAGGAGGAGGAGGAGGAGGAGGAGGAGGAGGAGGAGCAAGAGCAGGAGCAGGAGGAGGAGGAGGAGGAGGAGGAGGAAGGTGGGAAGGGGGGTCGAGGATCGAGACTCGAGGATCAAGGTTTTGAGGAGACACCACACACACCTCCAGGACTGGAGGAGGCGGAAGAAGGTGCGAGGTGGCGGAGGCTTCCTGCCGACGCCTCTCCGAATACACTGCCTGCCCTCCTCACTGCGGCCACTGCGCGCTCCATGCCGCTCGCCTTCGTTTCCCTTCCACCCTGCGGTCTCCCACCCGTCCGGTCCATCTCCCCCCCGCCTTCCCACACCTCCCCTCGCCTCCTTCCCTCCCCTCCGAATCATGCCCTCCCTCCTCTCCCCTCCTCTCCTCTCCTCCCTCTCTCCCCTTCCCTCCTCTCCTCCCCCCTCCCCTCTCCTCCTCCCTCCCTTCCTCCCTTCCTCATTCCCTCCTCTCCTACCCTCCCTCCCCTTCCCTGACAAGGCTCGGGGCTGCACACCAAGGAGCCCGTGGAGGTCCCGGCTGGCCTCAACAGGCCGGCAACGGGGCAAGCACACCCGACCCTTGCAGGTCAGAGATCTGAAGAAACGGCGGGGGGTCACAATTCGAAACATGCATTCAGACAAGTGCACCCCAGCAGAGGTGCCCGATACCCTAGCGTCGATCGCATCCGCAGGAATAGCCTTCGCAAATGGTCGCAGAGCAACTCAGTTCGGGGCACTCGCAGCACCCAGCGACGCCCCCCACGGTGCCTTCTGCCTGCCTCCCCCCCCGTCGCAATCGGCTGCGCTCCCTACCAGATCGGACCAACCCTGGCTGGGATGCCCAGGAGGAGGTCTTCATATGAAGCAGCCAGTGGACAAAACCTTCGACAGGAGGAGGACGCGGGGGCGAGGAGGAGGGCTACGATTGACGTTGTTTCTAGCCGTCAGGAATCAGGCATCAGGTGGCGAGGAGGAGGGGATGAATGCTACATGCATTCCTGGACCTCGTGGGCCCTGGAAAATTCAGGGCCTTTTTTTTACTGGCTCACTTTTGCAATTAAGGGTTGCCAGTTCCGTCTCCATGAGTTTGCTGGCTTTATTTTTCCAATTCAGGCTCCCGCTCCAATCCCAAATCCGTTTTTTTCCGTCTCCAATCACGGTTGTTCTACCGCTTTTATGTTCAAGAGACACGTTTTCGGAAACAGCGGTAAAACAAGGATCCTGCCGCTTCCGGGGCCCACTAAGTTAAGGGAAGAGACGAGGTAGGCAGAGGAGGAGGATACGGAGAAACAGGAGCACGGGCATCGAGGACTGAAAGGGCGCGGGCCAAGCTTCGGACCAAAGGTGAAAGCCCGCTCGAGGCGCTCGAAAAGAGGAGGAGGAGGAGGACGACGACGGAGGCGATGAAGGCAAAGGGGAGAGGAAGGCAGGAGGAGGGGGAGCAGGAGGGAAGGCGGGAGGGTGGGGAATGGAGGGGGGGGGGCCGCTCGGCGGTTATGGGTTAGTAGGGGAAGAGGGATGACCGGTAGGTGTATCCTCCTCCTCCTCCTCCTCCTCCTCCTCCTCCTCTTCCTCCTCCGCCTCCCCCTCCTCCTCCTAATCGTAGGAGGAGGAGGAGTGTTATTAGTTGGCAATCGCAGTCGCAGTGTCAGTGGCGCTACCCGGAGAGAGCAACCGCAGGTGTAGTAGGGGGACGATACGGAGGATGCGGTTGACCAGGAACTGAAGGATGAACAGGACGAATAGGGGGAAAGATGCTTGCGCGCACAGTGCGCAGACTCCCTAAGGATCCCACCGAGTACGCATCCGAACATCAGACCATGCTCAGTCTGCCCCGTGCAGGCTCGCGGGCGCGACCAGAGCACCAAGTTACCAAAAGAGCACATGCGCATGCCACTCCTGAGGTGTCAGTGTCATTTACCACCCTCCGAGAAGCGGGGGAAGGGAAGCAGAGGGGGGGCAGGAGGACGCCCTCTGACAGGATCCCGTCTGGCCCGCCCTGCCCGTCCTGCCCGCCCCGCCCGCCGCGCTCACCGAGCTCCTCCGCCCCCGTCTCGGCCGTCGACCTCGGGCCGCTGAGGCCCGGGTCCTGCTCGTCCTCGCCGTCCTCGTCGATGTCCAGGGCGATCTCCTCGGACTCCCACACCACGTCCTGCCCGGCGACGGGGCGGGGCCGAGTCCGGAGGGACGGGTGGGCAAGCCCGCGGCGCGCCGCGCTGCACGACGCGCACATCTCAGTCGCCACAGCCAACACCAGTTCGAGCCGTGCTGCTCACGCCACAGGGGGGGAGGACACAACCAGCAGCACGAACAACGTGATACGAATGGGCGCTTTTCCGGACATACCGCGCGTGAAGCAAAATGACCCGCGTGCACCACAACAACGCGTGTATGGTTCTACGCACCGTGAAGTGAGACGGCGTCGGTATCAAACATTATCCTGGAATATTACGCGAAGCACGAGATACCTCATTAGAGCTTGTTGCTAACACATGGGCTCTGGCACGAACGCATGTGTACGCACTCACGCTCCCTTCAAGGACAAACACGAGGCCGTCCTGTCAAAGAAACGGTTGAATCATTTCTCAGTCCATGTCAGTAAATGTACATTGAAAGCATGAGGCGTCCTCGTCCGGGGGAAACTGGCGTCGTCGTGTGCTGCTGGCTGGCAATCGACACTGCTGGAGCCCCCCGACAGCCGACGGCACGAAATAACTGGATTGTGAAAACACGGCCGGCCCATGGATCCGGCAAGGCATTTGGAATTGCGAGGCTTGAACCTTGAAGACAGCCATCTATCTTCGGCGATGGGCGATAATAGAGGCCTCCTAAATGGGGTCCGACTAGATGGGGTCGGAGACTCGCGCCGCATCGACGATACATCCGCGATGCATCGGAAACGCATTGGCGATGCATCGGCGACGCTGGCAATGCATCGGCGACGCCAATGCGAAAGAAACTCCGGCACCGCATCGAGCCGCATCTCCGATGCATCCGCGATGCGTCGCTACCCTCCGACCCCATCTACTCGGACCTCATCTAGGAGGCCCAGAAATTGTAATGCTGAATCGATCGATGGTGAGTATACGGTGGGGGCATTGGAGAAGGAAACCTTAGATAAGGAATCCAGGGTCTCGCGATCGATGGGCGGCCAGACGTGGGCCACCCACCTCGCCTTGAGACAACCAGGAATGCGCCAAGGGCCTGGGCCCCCGGAAGACACTCCTTATCCAATGTCGCGGCCGTACCGTGCCAGGGGCTCTGCTGTCCTGCGCGGGGCCTTGCTGCGCCGTGCTGTGCCGACCTGTGCTGCTTCGTGCTGTGTTGACCTGTGCTGCATGGCGTTGCGGATCTCTAGTGGTCCTTGGCGTCCGAATCCTTACTATGGGACGCAGAAAGACATACCAGTACTTTGCATCCTTTCTCGGAGGCGTGCGTCCGACACGAACATATAGCAGAACCATCTTGTAGTATACCGTTTCCCGAGCGGTACGGCCAGAAAGCGCCCGCCAGGACGCATGTACTATAAGATTTCTCGGTGCGCGCGTCGTCCCTGGGGTTCGACGAACACATAGTACGGTGGGGCGGTGGCGGCATTGGATAAGGAACCCTTAGATAAGGAATCCAGGGTCTGGAAGCCAGTGGCACTCCAACCATGGACCGGCCATGGGTATCACCGCCACCCTCATTGGATAAGGAATCCTCCAAGGTCTGGCGCCGCCTGGGACTATTCCTTAACAAACGCCCCAACCGTATTAGTATGTCGGGGAGCCGCCGATACTAAGCTGATCTGGATCTTGACCTCGAGATGCCTTAACGGATGGCTCGCCCAATGCTTGTTGTAGTCGAAGCGAGCGGGGCGCTCAACCAGCTCGAACTCAGGATACGATCCCGAAGTGGGACGGACCGAGAGAGGGGGGGCATGGACGCGCCACTGGACGTGCCAGGGGCTCGCCAGTGGACGAGCCAGGGAACATGCCAGGGGACGTTCCACGGGGCGCGCCAGTGGTCGCGCCAATGGACGCACCATGGGACGAGCCAAGGGACGCGCCAATGTACGCGCCAGGGGACGCGCCACGGAACGTGTACATGGAAACGCGCCAGAGGACGAATCATGGGACGGGCCATGGGACGTGCCAGGGAACAAACAACGAGACGCGCCAGCGGACGAGCCATGAGACGTGGCAGTGGACGCGCCAGGGGGCGTGCCACGGGAAACGCCAGGGAACGTGGGCCCAGGGGCATGCCATGCGATGAGCCACGGAACGTGTCAAAGTGACGCGCCAGGAGACCAGCCCGGGGTGCGCGCTAGGGGGCGGGTGAGCGGACGTCCCAGGGGACGTGCGGCGCGATGTGCCAGGCACGTGCCAGTGGATGCGCCAGTGGACGCGCCAGGGGGACGCGCCAGGGGACGCACCACGGAACGTGCAGGGGAACGCGCCTGAGGACGAGCCAGGAGACGCACCAGGGAACCCGTCAGGAGACGCACCAGAGGACGCGCCAGGACACGATCCACGGAGCGTGGCAGGGGACGCGCCACTGGACGTGAGAAGGGTCGTGTTGAGGGACCTGCAGGGGGGCGAGCTCAGGGACTTGCCGAGAGTGGTCGCCGGGGGACGTGAGACGGGACGTGTCAGGGAGCGCGCCAAGGTTCTTGCAAGGGAAGTGCCACGAGGTGATCCAAGACCCTCGTAGATTACACTGGGCCAGCGCTCCCAGCGCAAACGCATCGTGCATTGCGTGGCGTTCGCGCGCCCAGTGCGACGATCCCTCCGACGCTGACGACAGGCAAACCCTGGGCCAGCGCGCTCTCCAGGAGGCAAGACCAGCACCATCGACCCCAGCGACTAGGATAGCTCCGTGATGGCCCTGGCGCCCGACGCGGGCCCAGAGCACGCCCGTCCCGCTCTCGTGCGCGACACACCGACGCGACGGCCCCCCGCAGCCGCGATGCCCCGCGGCCTGCCCAGCTTCGGCGGTGGGCGAGGGGGGGGAACGAGGAGGAGGAGGCCTCTTCAGAAGGCGGCGGGACTTCTCAGAAGCCCCCGCGCCTCCTGAGAAGCTGTTTGTTTTTGTTGTCCCTGGGGAAGGCTCAGGGAAGACTTCTCAGAAGGCCCAGGGACTTCCCAACCTCCTGAGAAGGCCTTCTCCTTGTCACTTCTCCCCCGGGCTCGCCGCTGAGAAATGGGTACGGAACAAAAAGGGAACGATGCCCAACAACAAGCGTTGTCCAAGACCGACAGCAACCGCTGTTGGGCAGGCGGTCTCCTGGCTCAAATGGACCTCGTCGCGGCGACGCCGACAACGAATCCTGCCCAAAAGGCTTAGAACCTTTCTCAGAAGGCCGGGGGGCCTCCAAACCTTCTGAGAAGGCCTTCTCCTTCTGACGTCCCCCCGTCGCTTTATGTTGCTCCCATCCTACCTAAGGATCACATCCCAGAGATAACTTCGAGCACCCCGAAAATTATCGAAACGGTGTCGAACGAGTATCGCCTCCCAGGGCCCGACACTTGAAAACCCTCCAGTTTCGGTATTTTCTTGGTGCTCGAAATTCTGTCTGGTGACCAGATCTGGATGACCCAAAAGGGGATTCAGCTGAAAGGGGGTGGTGCAATAGATGTGGGGCAATGGTGCAAGAGTATTGCAAATGTATTGCGAGAGAGAATTGTGTTGCATTGTATTGCAACTGATGCACTGCACGCGAAAATCCAGCAATACATTTGCGCACCGGCATGTATGGTACGCCCCTAATCTGTTGCAACCCCACAAATGTATTGCACCAAATCTATTGCACCACCCCCTTTTTGCTGGACCCCATTTTGGGTCAACCAGATCAAAGCTAAGGTAGATAGGAACATCATAACCCTCCAGAGGTCCGGACCCATTCCCCAGGAACGGTTTCTCATCCTGAGTGGTTTTTGTTAGTCCCCAGGGCCAATGAGGGCCCCCAGAGGCCGAAACTAGCGCAAAACCTCCCGTCGCGATGTTTGTTGCACGACTCGAGGGGGTCTGGGAAGGCCTCCTCCTCCTCACCTTCCCCCCTCGCTCGCCGCCGACAGCTCCTCGGCCGCAGCGGGCTCCGCGGCGGCTTCCCCAGCGGCCGCCTCGCCCTCGGCAGCAGCTTCTGCGCCGCGCGCGGGGGCGGCGGCCGCGGGCTCGCCAGGGGCGGCCGCGGCCGTCTCCTCTGGGGGGCGGCCCGGGAGGAAGAGGACAGAGGAGGAGGAGAAGAAAGAGGACAGAGGAGAGAGGAGGAGGAGGAGGAGGAGGAGGAGGATGAGGAGGAGGAGGAGGAGAAGGAGGACAGAGGAGAGAGGAGGAGGAGAGAGGAGGAGGAGGAGGAGGAGGAGGAGGAGGAGGAGGAGGAGGAAGAAGAGGAGGAGGAGGAGGAGGCGCGAGCTCGCACGCGGCGGGGCCGGGAGCTGGAGGACTGCCCCGATGCGTAGCACGTAGCCCGTCGCGCGTTGGCACGGAGATCAACACGTGCACCCCCGCTTAGAGTGAAGAAAGCTTTAGGCTAAGGAAAGGGCCTTCACTCCGAGAGCATTCTGAAACAGAGGTCCAGGCCAAAAGATACGACAGTTCTGCGATAAGCAAAGCTCCAAGAAAACGCCCAGGGCCCAGTCCAGATGTTTGATTCTCTTCAACGAAATCTATCGTTTTCCCGAACCTGGCGGCGGGGCCACCTGACTCCACGCCTGACATTCGAGGCGTCGCGGTCAAATTCACCAGGGGCCTCCTCCTTGCCATTTCCGCCTGGGCAGGATACAGATCGAACGGCTGGAGGGTCCTCCTCATCCTCTGCGATGTCGAGCGTGATCTCCTCCTGCGGGGAGAATGCGCGGTCGAGCACAGAGGCAACTAGCGAGGTATAGAGAGACGACGACGACGTGCGGGGTCCAACTTTTGAGCGAGCCGCCCCCACGCAAGAAACACAGCCGTCCAGGGCCCTGAATGGCAGGCGCTCATGCGTGTCCTTTGCCTGTCGATGCTTCGGGGTGGTGTGCACATATGTTCAGCCAACATCCGCGCTTGATGCTCCAAGATCCGCTGGCGAATAACAAGACAACATGCGTATCTGAATAGCAAGACGCGCTCGGGTCGATGCTCAGGCCTGCCCGCTATCGCAAAGCTGCCGCAACGAGCTCCGCCTCAAGTCCCACACCTGCGCCGCGAAAACAATCATTCGTTTGCCAGCAAGCCTTGAGACTGACACATTCCGATTGGCATGGGATTTCTTCGATTCGCGCACCTCTGTGTGGTGTAAATCTTGAATGCGGAGCAGGGCTGGAAGACGCAAGGGGGAACTAAGAAGTGCAACTCGAGAATGTCCCCACACTGAAGACACTGAATCCGGGACGCTAGCGCCTCCAAGGCGCGCTCGTCGTCATCGTGGTCATCGACGTCGTTTTCTTCCTTCTCCTCCCCCTTGCCATTCCATGCTGTCTGCACCAGCTGCTCCCGCGAATATTCTTCGGCTGGCGCTTCGAACTCCCGTACCACCGATGCGAGACGGCCCGATTGCCCCGACAAGAAATCGCTGCTTGGACAACGAACGTACCCAAAGTGCCCACATTCTATTGGCAAGCGAGATGCCAACGAAAGCAAAGGAGAAGGCGACGGGGGAGTGGGATGAGGAGTACGAAGATGCTTGCTCGCTCGCAGGAGTTCGCCTGGACCCACGCCAACCCAACGCATTGACAGATCATCATAGGACCCCGTCTCCCTGAGAAAGAAAAGCAGGTGCGATCGTCCTGCCTTGAAGGCTGGAGAAGGGGGTTCCACAGAAGTAAGGCGAGGGGGAGGCCCAGGGACAGCAGCAAGATCAGGATCATGAGGACCTTGAGGACGAGGAGGGAAATGACGAGGAGCAGCAGAAAAGGGCAGGCAGAAGAGGGGGAGGCAGCGGAGGGGGAAGGGGTGGCAAGTCAGACGGAGGAGGGCAAGCAGCAGCGGGAACATAACGACGACAGACCCTCGCACACAAGATGTGGCGGATACGTCTAAGCGCCTAGTTTCGTCCAAAGGACAAAAAGGCCCTCTCGCCAAGCAGCTCGCCGAGTGAACTGCTAGCGAAATCCGCGCCACCTTAAGCGGGCACATCGAGGATCGCTGCGACAAGCTGCTGGCCTCCCCCTTTCCCCAATCCTCCTCCACGTTCCACCTCCTCCTCCTCCTCCTCCTCCGCCCTCATTCCCCTCCTCCTCCGCCCTCCTCCTCCTCCTCCTCCTCCTCCTCCTCCTCCTCCTCCTCCACTCTCTTCCTCCTCCTCATCCTGATCGTCCTGCTTCTCCGGACCATTCTCCCGCACGTCTCCTCGCCGCTCGATCCTTCCTCGTCGCTCCTCCTCCTCCTCCTCCTCCTCCTCCTCCTCCTCCTCCTGCTCCTCCTCCTGCTCCTTCTCCTCCTGCTCCTCCTCCCCCTTCTCCTCTGCCTTCCTCCTTCTCCCCCGCCCTCCCCCTCCCCCCTCCTCCTCCTCCCCTCCTCTCCTCCTCCTCCTCCTCCTCCTCTCCTCCTCCTCCTCCTCCTCCTCCTCCTCCTCCTCCTCCCTCTTCCTCCTCCTCATCCTCCTCATCCGGATTGTCCTCATTCTCCGCACCATTCTCCCAAACGATACCTCGCCGCTCGATCCTCCCTCGTCGCTCCTCCTCCTCCTCCTCCTGCTCCTCCTCCACCTCCTCCTCCACCTCCTCCTCCTCCTTCTCCTCTTCCTCGTCCTCCTCGCCCCCACCGATAAGGAACCCAGGGTCTGGAAGCCGGTGGAACTCCAATCGTGGATCGGCCACGGATATCCCCGCCGCCCTCATCAGATTAGGAATGTTCCAGGGTCTGGAGCACCCTGGGCACATTCCTTAACGAACGCCCCCACAGTAGCATCAACAAATGCGGCAACAGTCAAACACTATACAAACAAAAACCGTCCCCAGACTATGTTTTGACAATTTTTGAATGTTTCTCCTGTAGATGGACGCGTCCGACTTAAAAACGCAGCGGTGAGGGCTCGAGGTCGTCGACTGCGCCACGAATCGGCGTGGCTTCGCGCATCAGGGGTGGCTCGTTGGCCCTCTCTCCGCTTCGCAATCTGCTCCAAAAAGGAGAGCGAGCCGCGGACGCAAAGACGTTGGCCAGACTTGGACCTGCGCAGCCTGCAGCCCTGGTGGTCGTGGATCTGCTTCTGCTTCCGATCCCCCCCCCCCGCCCTCATCCCGCCCCGAACGGGCTTCCAGGAGACCCCTGAATCCCCAAACCACCACCCCCAAAAAACTGCGCGGACTGCCCACACTCATGAAGACACGCCCAGGAAACGTCTTCTCCTCCTCCTCCTCCTCCTCCTCCTCCTCCTCCCCCTCCTGCTCCTGCCGCATCTCCCCCGTAGAAGAAACAGATGCAATCTGATCCGAAGTTCTCCGGAAACGCCAGGATACATCAGGAAACTGTAGAGGTACTGCCAGCAAAACCTCCGACCACCGCCTTCCTCCTCCCTCCTCCCCATCCTCCCACCTCCTCCTCCTCCTCCTCCTCCCATCTCCTCCTCCTCCTCCTTATCCTCCTCCTCCTCCTCCTCGTCTTCCCTTGGCGCCCAACATCGTATCGTCATTTGTTTCATGCCGTCGGCCCTTGAAGCTCTTCGCCCCAGTCCCCAGGAATCCTTTCCGCCGCGACGCATTTTGTAAGGCCCCTGGGCACGCACAATGGCTCCAGATGTCCCAAACTCGAGATGTGGCAGGAGGAAACCAAACCCGTCCTTCTTCGCGACGCCTAGAAGTTTGGGCCCGCCCCCCTCAACATCCACACATGACCTCTCCCAGGCGGCGTTCTGACCGGGATTCAAGGCGCATCCAGCCATGGCGAAGAGGCCTTTTCCAGGTTCCCCGCCGAACAGTAGCAAAACATGTCAAACTTCTTCGCACCCGCCCCCTTTTCTCAGTCTCCACCCTCACCCTTCTAAAAATATGCCGGGAGGGCGCCAGATGCCGACCAGGAGGGCCCCGGAGGCCAGGCCTCTGGAAGTCAGGGGAACTTAAAAAAAAGATCGAGAGCCCGGATGCTCAGGGCAACGAGATCTTTACTTGTGGATGCCATGACACTCTGGACACCCTAACAATCCGATCGTTGAACTTGAAGTGTGTTTAACATGTTTGAGCCACGTTCTGAATACATGTAGAGCATGTTCTTGCATGTTTAAGACATGCTTTAAGCATGTTCTAGAAATCTGAAGTTACTTGGCAACATGCTTCCTCTCCTCTGATCGTCGTCCACAGGTCTATACACATCCACTGCACCAGGCCAAGCCAAGGCTGGGTCCGAGAGCGGTACGTACGCCTCCCTGAACATGCCAGGAGGGCGTGTACACCGCTGCTTGGCCCATGCTGGGCCAGGCAGCGGGCAGTGGATGTGTAATAGACAACGCCGCCCTGCAATCAAACTTGGTGGCAAGGATGCGCGATCAGGATGCAAGACCCTTGGACGCCCATGGCGAAGATTTTCGAGCGGGGCTGGCCATCGGAAAAGGGTCAAGGATGGACCGAGGAGGCAAGGATGCAAGGGTACCCTTTGGAAGGTGGGCCATCCTTGCTGCCGATTTCGGCTGTAACCCCCATCAGCTAGACGCAAGAATGGCCCTGGGCAAGAGTGACCTTTGTCGGCCCGGGCGAAAGGGGGGGATAGTAAAAGGGGGGGTTAGAGAATCAGCTCACGTAGCTGATTTTCCCAGCGCCTCCCGGCGCCGGAGGCGCGCATGCATCGAGGAATGGGCCCCTCGGCGGGGCCGAAACCAGCTGCATGCAGCACATTTTGTAACCCCCCCTTTCCCTATCCCCCCCTTTCGTCCGGCCCGACTTTGGTGCGCGGCGTTCGGGGGGGCCGCGGGTGTTGGCGGCCAACCCCACGTGCCCAAGACGCGTTGCTGCCGCGTCGCGCCCGGCGATCGGGAGACCCCGGTGGGGCCCGCCCCAGAGGTCCCTCTGGCGAGGAACACTCTTAGGCTCGTGGATGCCACGACAGTGGACACTCTAACAGTCCGACCATTGAATTTAAAGTGCGTTTAAAATGTCGGAATCATGTCCTATACATGTTTTAAGCATGGTTCTTTACCTGTCTAAAACATGCTCAGTACACGTTTTAGACATCTGGGAAATATTTGGCAGCATGCTCCCTCTCCATTGATCGTCCTCCACAAGTCTTAGCTGCAGCCGACCTCGGGCCGCGACCCCGACGCCCTCCGCGTCGCAGGGCGGAGGGCCCCGGACGCGGTGGCGGAGGGCACGGCGCGCCGGGGCCTCCTCCTCGCCCGCGGCGGCCTCCTCGGCGCCGGGCGCCAGGTCCCCCTGCTTGCGGGCCAGGCGCGGGAGGGGGGGGGGCAGGAAGAATGAAGGGGCCCTGGGACACACAAATAAATCGACACAAATAACCAGATTGACAATTGTTTCCCTGATCTTCTGGGTTGTTGTCTTCCCCCCCACTTCCCAGATTTTCCCACATATTCTGGGGAATCAACGATTCATTGTGTCTGTGTGTTTTTTTTTCCCTCCTGAAGGGAGGGGGCAGGAGGCGGGAGGAGTAGTGGCTGACGTCGGCGGCGAGCGGGGGGGCGGGGGGGGGGGGGAGAACGAGAAGGAGACGGCCTGTTCAGAAGGCGGCGGGCCTTCTCAGAAGCCCTCGCGCGCCTCCTGGGAGATGTTCGGTGCACTGTCTTCGGGGAAAGCTTGGAGATCTTCTCGCAAGGCCGGGGGACTTCCGAGCCTTCTGAGAAGGCCGGCCCCTTCTCGCCTCTCCCCCCCGGGCTCGCCCCTGCGTCTGACCCTCTTATCCCTGCCGCTTCGTCGTGCCGCTGGAGCGTCAAAATCCTTTACAACAAAAAAAACAGCAGGGATGGATCTCCAGGGGAGGCGAGAACCGACCTTGAGCGGATGTGGCCGGGAGGACGAAGACGGTGACGAGGATTTTTTATCTTGCGATGCTGCTGAGCGGGCCGACGGTTTAGGAGGAGGAACAGGAGGAACAAGAGGAGGAGGAGGTGGAGGAGGAGGAGGAGCGGGGGAGGAGGAACAGGAGGAACAGGAGGAGGAGGAAGGGGAGGAGGAGGAGGGGGATGAGGAGGAGGAAGAGGAGGAGGAGGAGGAGGAGGAGGAGGAGGAGGAGGAAGGGGAGGAGGAGGAGAAGGACCAGAGCGCCAAAGTCCGAGAGGCTGACGGGCAGGAGGGCAAGGAGGAGGCGAGGGAGGAGCAACACCAGCAAGAACGAAGTCGCCAGCTCAACGGGCCAAACGCGTGTTAGGATCTCCAGTAAGCGGCTCAGAGTGCATGTTAAGTATTACTTCGCGCACACGGGGCAGATCATGACATTCGGGGGCGGCCAAGCGAGGGGCGTCAAAGAGGGGGGGGCGCAAATCATGGCTGGCGGCATGTGCGCGGCCCAGGGGGGGACCCAGGGACGTCATGAAAGAAGGAGAGGCGACATGACATCTGAGGAAACATCCTTGCCCCCGCCATGATATCCCCTCCCCCCTAGTCTTCCCCCCCCCCCCCTCTTTGCCGCCCCTGTAGGAAGGGTGCAGTGCCCTGGCAAGTGGGAGCGCCACGAGTGCCGGGACTCCCGGGCGCGGGCTCGGGACCCCAGGCGCAGCCTCCAAGGACGCCCACTGGCAGCTCTGAGGCGGTCCGAGAGAAGTCTCGAGCCGTGCCCACGCCTGCCTCAAGACGGCGGAGGGCTCGAGAGCGCCTCCAGGGGGCCCTCCAAGGGCCCCAAGGAGACAGAACTCGTTGATGTCCGCTGTTTTTTTCTGGCCCACGAGGCCCAGAGACGGCCCCCCGGGCTTGCAGAATACGCAGGAGGGGCCCAAACGAGGGAAACCGCAGGTGCTTGTGGAATATTTTCCTCAAGGATTGTTCAGGACCCACAAGAAGCCCCCAGAGGGCACCCAGAGGCACCCAAGAGGCGCCTGAGACGCCCAAGCATCCCAAGAGATCCCGAGAGGCATCCAGACACGGTGGCAGGATGGACTGAAGGCCACTAGATAGACAAATGCCAACAATTCCACAGTATGGACTGGCAAAGTGAGCGAAGCGATCGAACATGAATGGGGAGGGGAATGGGACGAGGGGGGGGGGAGAAGGCGGAGGGAAAGGAAGTGGTGGGAGGAAGAGTGGGGAGGCAGGTGAGCAGCAGCAGGGGCAGACGACAAACGCTCGAGAGGAGTCAATGTGTCTTATGCCCTTGGCGCCCAGGCAAGGTACTCGGGTGAAGGGGACAGTGCAGATGCCGTGCAAGTGTTGGTGCAAGTGTCTGGCGAGCCTATGTGTAGAATAGACGGCGCCGCATGCTCACGCAGGCGACCAGGATGCGACGATGAGGCAGACTCAGCTGGGATCATGGAGACGATAGCTCCACACGCGTACGACGGCGCAGGAAGAACACGTCGGAACACGTACGTAAACAAATCTCTATCTCTCCCCTTGTCGAGCAAGCATGGTTACTCTGATAACCAACCGAGGGTCCACCCCCTGATAGAACGGAGCGTCGCAACGTGCATGGTAAGACGAATCGTCCAGAACGATCAGCTCGGAGGAATACCACGCAAACTGCAAAGCGGATGAAGGGGAAGGATGGGAATAGTAATTTGAAGGGAATGCAAGAGGAGATGGGGAGAGGGGTGGAGAGACGCGCGGGACGAGGAGGCGAAGGAAGAGAAGGAAGCGGAGGAGGAGGAGGCGAAAATATTGGGAGGATCGCTGTGTGAGTGCCTTTGAGCTTGTCTCCTAGATAGGCAGGCCCGCACTCAACACGCAGAGAGACTGCAGCGCCCAAGGAACTGGTTCCAGGGCCCCGCGGCCCGTCCTTCCACAGGCACAGAAAAGAACATACAAACTACTGAAGCCCCGGAAGCCCCGATAATTCAACGCGCAAGTGTTCTTCGACAATGCTCGGGGCATCAGCTCTCCTACATGTCCGCGACCGTGCGCCCACAGAGCAGAGTCCTCCTCCCTCTTCGTCCGCGATCGGAGATACAATGCGCGGCTATTGCAAGCGTCTTGTGAATCGACGCAGCGAAGACATAACAAAACTATGGAAGTCGTCTGCCTCCAAATCTAAGACATCCGCAGTGCTCTTGACTGCGATCGAAAACTGGGAAGACCTTCTCCGCCCTCCAACGTCGATGTCGCCGAGCTCACCCCTCCACCGTTAGAATTGAAACTGGCTTCGGATATTGCATCGTACGCGATATCCCGTGGGTGCCAATGCACCGGCCCACTGTTCCGACACCCGCGCCCTTGAGTGTCGCCGTTTTCGGCCTGTGGGGGCCTGTGCTGGACCTATGTTTTGACAACCAGTCGATGTCCATCGCTCCTGCTACTCTGCACGTCGTGCCTCAATGGATGTCTCTGGGCACAGACGACGAGCGGTTGCAGGACCCCGTGTGGGGCGTCGCCGGCAGGCCAGTCATGTGGATGAACGTCTTGCGCTCCGAACTCCTCGGGGAAATAGCGAAAGGGAGCGTGGGCCAGGCGTAAGGGAGGAGAGGGGGTTGGGGAAAGAGGGGCTGGGAGAGGGGAGCGGAGGCGAATGCGGGATCGGAGGGGAGGAGGGCGGCACCAGGGAAGCGAGGACGTGATGGGGGACGTGAAGGGAAGGTGGGGAGGAGAGGCGGGTCATCCGAGGGGAGGGGGAGAGACAAAAGGTGAGAGTGAAGTATCGTGGGCGAGCAGAGGGGGAAAGGAGGGAGGTGGGGGAGGAGAGGGCGGCGGTAACCGAGGGGTACAAGCTCCTCAAGTGGCCCATGGTGAACGGCGTCAGCAGCGGCACGCCCCAGGTCCCACCCTCAGACAGGAACGCAAACGTCCACCATCCCGTGACTGTTTACCCAAGATGCGACAACTATGGCACCACCAAACAAAACAGCCGTCAAACATACAACTTGAACCTGGCAGTCCTCACCTAGTAGCTGTTGTGAATGGTTTCTTGGTCAGTCGCGTGTGACTCTCCTGTGCCACATGTTACTTGGGCGGTTGTGGGTGGCCATATGTATGAGCAGTGTGTGCGCGCATGTGCTAGATGAGTGTCAACTTGTTTGTATGACATTGCAAAATTACGGTGCGTACTTGTGACGTGCACGCAAGATCGGCGTCCGTTTATGGAAATGGTTGCGGTAATTTGCTAGTCTGTCATATTGACAAAATGGCGTCGCTGCCGAGATCATGTTGTCTGTCACTGATTAGGGACTTCTGCTCGACTGAATTTCTATGTGTGGTACATCTTGTCGAGTCCCGTGGATTGCCGTCTGTCCTGGCTAAGTGGTGCTGGTACTGATGTATGCGCCTGATGGACGGCTTGATGTGAATTACTGGTGCGCAGTATGTATCAGTGTTATTGTCGTACGCTGTTGAAGAAGGTCCGTGGCTTGTGTAGGATATGCATGCTGCTGGTCATTAATGATTTTATGTGTCGCTGATGGGAGGGATCTCGGCAAATATCATTGGTTTGTGTGAGCCTGTTCTTGGTGAGCGTCCCTGGTGCATGTTCATGTTACCGGGTTTGGGAGCCACGGTGCCAGTGCCCGTTATGGCTGTATTTTCTTGGCATCCGCTCTCAAATTCTGATTTGCTCTCAGGCCTCCTGTCTGGAGTTGGGTCTTCGCTTGAAATCTGCAGCGCCGTGCTGCCCCCCCTCCCTCCTCAACCCCCTTCCTCCAGCCCCCCTCCGCTCTCCGCGTGTCCATTTCTGCAAATCCCTCGCGCGCTTCGTGCTGCTGATGGAGCTCCGCCTACGGCCAAAGCGGCCGCGCCCGGAATGGCGCACCCGACTCCCATGTCGGCACGCCCCTTTCGTGTCAAACTGGTCTCCGGCCGACAGGCCGAGGAGATCCGCAGGGGGCACTTTCTGAGAGGGCGGCCTCTTATTCGCAGCACCGGCTGCACACAACCTATCGGAAGAAGGCCCAGCCCCCTTCCTCGGGGACGCGTCTGGAGACGACCCGTCCTGAAGCCCCGAGCCCCCGAGCCCCTGGTCGGGGGGTCGGTTGCTGCTAGAAGTGCCCCTGGCCCAAGGTGCCCCCCGGGATTCTCGCGGTGGCCCAGACGGCCTCCCGAGCACCCCTCATGAGGCCCAGAGGGCCCAGGGGCTCCCAAACTGGGCGAAACACTGGGGGCACCTTGGGCCAGGGGCATTTTGCGGCTAGACATACGAGTGACCCGAGGCAAGATGGGCCTTTGGTGCGCGGTTTAACGGGGGACGCGGGGTGGCCAAACCCGGGCGCGCAAGCCGTTGCTACCGCTTCGCTCTCGGCGATCGTGGAGACCCCACTGGGTCCGCACCAAGGGTCACTCCTGCGAAAGGCCACCCTGACGGCTAGTCTTAGGTCGGGCATGTCCCCCTATAGGCGCATTTTGGGTGAAACATAGAGAATAGGCAGAACATATTCAAACATTGTCAAAAAATTATCCCGGCGATGGACCCAACCATATGCAGTTACGAGTACTACAAAGCAGGTTGAACGAATGAGAGGGAACTCCGTGAGGGGCCACGAGACGTGTGAGAGGTGTGCCGAAATGGGTGCGGTGCCGCCATGCGAACGCAGCCACTGGGCCCCTCGGTGGAGCTCCCTATGGGGCCACGAAACGTGTGAGGGGTGTGCCGAAATGGGTGCGGTGCCGCCATGCGAACGCAGCCACTGGGGCCTTCGGTGGAGCTCCCTATGGGGCCAATATACGTGTCAGGGGTGTGCCGAAATGGGCGCGGTGCCGCCGTGCGAACGCAGTCACTGGGGCCCTCGGTGGAGCTCCCTATGGGGCCAAGAAACGTGTGAGGGGTGTCCCGAAATGGGCGCGGTGCCGCCATGGGGCCCTCGGTGGAGCTCCCTATGGGGCCACGAAACGTGTGAGGGGTGTGCCGAAATGGGCGCGGTGCCGCCATGCGAACGCAGCCATTGGAGCCCTCGGTGGAGCTCCCTATGAGGCCACGAAACGTGTGAGGGGTGTGCCGAAATAAGTGCGGTGCCGCATGCGAACGCAGCCACTGGGGCCCTCGGTGGAGCTCCCTATGGGGCCACGAACCGTGTGAGGGGTGTGCCGAAATGGGCGCGGTGCCGCCATGCGAACGCAGCCACTGGAGCCCTCGGTGTGGCTCCCTATGGGGCCACGAAGCGTGTGAGGGGTGTGCCGAAATAAATGCGGTGCCGCCATTCGAACGCAGCCACGGGGCCCCTCGGTGGAGCTCCCTAAGGGGCCACGAAACGTGTGAGGGGTGTGCCGAAATGGGTGCGGTGCCGCCATGCGAACGCAGCCACTGGGGCCTTCGGTGGAGCTTCCCATGGGGCCACGAAACGTGTGAGGGGTGTGCCGAAATGGGTGCGGGGCCGCCATGCGAACGCAGCCACTGGGGCCCTCGGTGGAACTCCCTATGGGGCCACGAAACGTGTGAGGGGTGTGCCGAAATGGGTGGGGAGCCGCCACGCGAACGCAGCCACTGGAGCCCTCGGTGGAGCTCCCTATGGGGCCACGAAACGTGTGAGGGGTGTGCCGAAATGAATGCGGTGCCGCCGTGCGAACGCAGCCATTGGAGCCCTCGGTGGAGCTCCCTATGAGGCCACGAAACGTGTGAGGGGTGTGCAGAATAAGTGCGGGGCCGCCATGCGAACGCAGCCACTGGGGCCTTCGGTGGAGCTCCCTATGGGGCCACGAAACGTGTGAGGGGTGTGCCGAATAGGGTGCGGTGCCGCCATGCGAACGCAGCCACTGGGGCCCTCGGTGGAGCTCCCTATGGGGCCACGAAACGTGTGCGGGGTGTGCCGAAATGGGTGCGGTGCCGCCATGCGAACGCAGCCACTGGAGCCCTCGGTGGAGCTCCTTATGGGGCCACCAAACGTGTGAGGGGTGTGCCGAAGTGGGTGTGGCTGAAGCGGAGGGGGAGGAGGGAGGAGGGGGCAGAGGAGGAAGGAGAGGAGACGCGGGGCACCGTCTCTTCAAAACGAGGACCCAACAACACAGGATGGTTGGGAATGATAGAAAAATCGTCCCCATACTATTTTTTGACTACTTCTGAATATTCCTCCTGTAGAAGGGACATGCCCGACTTCAGGCTAATCGAACTTCTTGCAACACCCGAGGAGGGGGGGGGAGCGCTGGCATTCTCTGGACAAGATATTCGCAGAAAAACAGCCACGACGGGGGCTTGTCATCGCTCTCGGACGCCCCTTTTCCCCGTGCGTTTCTCGGCTTCGTGCTTTTGTTGGGGGGGTGCTTACCCCGGCGGCCCGCTCGACGCGGAAGTCTTCCACGTCTGAGTGCTCCTCCTCCTCCCTATCCGTCCTCCCCGCGGCCGCCCTGGTCCTCTTGTTACCCTCTCTCGCATGCGGGCTCCTGAGCCATTCGGTTGCCCCGCATCGCCCGTCGCTGGAGCGGACCGCCTCTGCCTCGCCACCGACGGGAAAGAAATTATTTTCATGTTGGCTCGATCATTCGATGATCCTCGCCGGGAAAAAAATCGGGGAGACGTAAGACTCGGGTACGGGGGACTCGGGTTGGCCTGACGGGGCCATCATGAAAATGACGAGACCCAATCTGAAATTTGACGCGAGCTCCCGCTGCAAAACCTCCCACGAACACAGGATCGTCCAAAATCCAGGACGCGCTCGACAGTAAAAACGCCAACAAACCCGAGCTCTATGGCTTACTCGAGTCTTACGTCTCCCCGACAAAATCCGCACGTCCGAGCGATGCCACGGGGACGGGGGACCCCGCCTCCCCCAGCTCGGCGACTCCAAAGGGTGTGGTTTGCAAAAGGGTGTGGTTTGCAACCGGCACCCTGGGGAACGTCCTGGGGGAGCACCCTAAGGGGGCGCGCGGGGACCTGGATGGAGCTCTCCCGCGCCCCGGGGAGGCCCGACAAGGACGGTGCCGTGCCCCCCGGGCCCCAGCGGTGCTGATCGCACAACACACCTTGGCGTAACCGTACCCCTTGTATCGGCGGTGGACAACCCTCTAGTGACAACGGCCTGGGACCGAAATCGAGGGACCCGGACCCGCAAAAAGGACGGCCGCGACGCCCTCTCGCGAACCGAAAACGGCCGATTTGCTAATCGACGTGTCAGGGTAGGAGGCCAGCCCACCCCCGACCCCTTGTGGTCGCCGAAGCGGCCTGCCTGCTCGCGGGGTGGAGGAGGAGGAGGAGGAGGAGGACGAGGAGGAGGAGGAGGAGGAGGAGGACGAGGAGGAGGAGGAGGAGGAGGAGGCGGAGGCGGAGGCGGAGGCGGAGGAGGCGGAGGGAGGCGGAGGCGGAGAGGAGGAGGAGGAGAAGGAGGGAGGGGAGAAGGAGGAGGAGGAGAGGGAGGAGGGGGGGCGCCCCCCCGGGGGCCTCGGGCTTCTCGCCCTCGGCGGCCGCCCGCGCGCCGCGCCCCGCCTGGCTCGCCAGCAGCGTGGGCAGGCCGAGGCCCGCCCGCCAGTGCGGCGTCTCGGCGTCCGGCGTCGGAGGGAAGACCTCACCGCCTCCGCCTCCTCCGCCTCCTCCGCCTCCGCCCTCCTCCTCCTCCTCCTCCTCCGCCTCCTCCACCTCCGCCTCCTCCTCCTCCTGCTCCTCCTCCCCTTCCCCCCTCCGTCTCCTCCGCCTCCCGTCTCCTCCTCCTCCTCCTCCGCCTCCTCCGCCTCCGCCTCCTCCTCCTCCTCCTCCTCCTCCGCCCCCGCCTCCTCCGCCTCCTCCTCCTCCTCCCCTCCTCCTTCTCCTCCTCCTCCGCCTCCGCCTCCGCCTCCCCCTCCTCCGCCTCCGCCTCCGCCTCCGCCTCCTCCTCAGGGGAGGAGAAGGTACCCAGACCTTAGGTGGGACGCACAGAGACATACCAGTACTGGATGTTCTCCTTGGAGGCGCACGTCCGACCCGAACACATCGTAAACCGATCTTGTAGTATATCCTTTCCCGAGCGGTGTGGCCAGAAAGCGCACGCCGCGACACATGTACTACAAGATTTCTCGGTGCGCGCGCTGCTCCTGGTGGGGGGGGGGGGCGACACACATATGGTATAAGTCTGTTGGGGTGACGCCGATCAGGGGAGGAAAAGGTACCCATACAGGCCTCGTGGAAAAAATAGCGAACACTCATGCCACATTCATCTGTCAACGCCTCCCCCTCCCCCCAATGTTCAAAATTGGCGGTGTGTCTGATGAGTCGCTCCTCGACCGCAATCTCCCCCGCGCGTGCCAACGTTGAGTTTTGGGGGGAGGGGGAGTGTTCAGTAATTGACTCCCTCTGCCGTACCGCTACACTTCCCTCGTTGTCCTCGGGGATGGACAGAACCCCCTTCAGCAAAACTTGGTTGACTGGAAACGACCTCGGGCCCAAACCTGGCGGGCGCAGGCCTGGAAAACGACGGCCGCGGCGCCCTCTCGAGAACCGAAAGCGGACAATTCACTAATCAACGTGTCAGGATGGGGGCTCTGTCCAACCCCGATTTCCCCTTCTGAGCCTCCTGGGAGGCCCTCGCCGCCACCGCTGGCTTCGCCTGGAAGTAATAACCAGAACGCACCCCGGGGGAGGTCCTGGGAGTAGAGGTCTCGGTACCTTTTGGTGCCCCCGAGACGAAGACCACCTCGAGGAAGAGCAGCACTGAGGGGCAACGATCGGGGGGGATAGGCATTTTGGGGGGAACCATTGGCCTGGAACGCGCGATACATCGCCCGTAAATCAGCGATGCGCCCCCGATCGCGGAGCTGCACCTCCCTGAGCAGCTTGGGGCCATCGGGCCCCCTGTGGGCGATCACTTGGCGATCGGGGGCCGATGCATGCCCCCTCGGGGCACAAACAATGAGATAAACATAACAACTCGGAGGTCCGCGCAGATGTCTCGGATCGGCATTGGACCCCCCTCCTTGGCGCGCGGAGCGCGCCAGGACCGGCGCCGGAGGCGCCGCCAAGGGTCTTCAGCGCCGATCCGAGAAATCCGCGCGGACCTCAGAGTTTTGTATGGTTATGTTATTGTTCGTTCCCCGAGAGAGGGACGGCGACGCCATGGCTACCAGGGCACTCAGAAGAACCTGTGGCGGCGCACCTGAGCGCGGCAATCAACAGACTCGGCTGCTGCAACCGTGTTGCGGCAAGAGCCTGCGCACTGAGAGGAACGCTGCACCACGCCGGCGATTTCGTGGGCCGTTTGCGTTGTCCGTGATGTCAATCTTCGTTGCCCTACTATCGTTGCCCCTGACGTAGATTGTCATCGCTCGGGCGTCCACTCCCCGTGCCGCTTTCGGCCCCGTGCGCGGACTCTTCGCAAAGAGAATCCAGGATGCGCCTCAGTGGTCCGTCCTCGCCGAGGAAAAAAAACGCACACGTCCAAGCGATGCCAAGGTACAGTCAAGTCGCTGGACTAAGGAACAGTTTGGGTTCGGAAGGGGCTCGAGGTTCCTTAGGCCCTTCCATGGCTGTTCCTCAAGCCCTCCTCGTGTACGCAAGCGCCTTTGGGGCCAAAAAGGGGCCTCGTTCCTTATTTAGCGGTCCTTCTTTCAGCGGCCCGACTGTAAGAGGAGGAGGAGACGAGACTAGACAGGCGCCTTGCACAACTACTCGCGAAGTAGCTACTCGCAACTGGCCTGGATCCGCTATATAGGGGATCTACGATGCAGTATACATCGAGGCAGACGTGTGGTTTTCGGACGTTTGCGAGTAGGTACTTTGCGAGCAGTGGGACGCGCTCAGTGAGAGACGGAGGAGACAACGAATGTGCGGTCCGTAGTCTGCGGCGGGCGGCTGCGGCAGCGGAGACGAGGACGGCTTGCAGCTCGTCGAGCGCGCCGACGCTGTCCCAGGCTGTGAAGTCAGGTGCGCTGGCGAGGTGTGGCGGCGTCGCGACCCGCAGTCTTCGTGGGAGAGGCCATGTAGGTGCCACGGGGTCGGCCAGCCTCCGCTGCAGCTGTGCCGTATGCTGCCATAGAGGGGGGCGCTGCCGAGCAGGCGAACGCAGAGTCGGGGGCCGCAAAGGCATCCGCAGAAACCGCTCGGGCGCCGGTCGTGTGCCCAAGGACGCCGCGTCTGTCGGGGTGGGGGTCGGTGAGTGGGGGTGGAGTGGACCCGCCAACGCCAGTTCGGGAGATACGAGGAGGGGGAGAGCGGGGAGGAGGGCGATGGGGACGAGGAGCAGGAGGTACAGAAAGCATGCAAGATGAATCTACCCTTGCGCTGTAGATCAGAGTGTGGGGGCGGAACGGTCTTACACTATATCCCTGGCTGCATGGTGAAATGGGGTTCCGTGGTACGGAATCCTGCCGCCGTCATCGCCCCATGACCCACCCACGAACCACCTGCGAACCGCCCGCGCCTATTCCGCTACACGCTCCGTGGCCAACCCGCAACGCCCCACGCAACACCATCGAGAGCCGCCCCACGACCAGTCCACGACCTGCAGCGCGACCCACACGCGACCCGCCGACGACCCGCCCGAAGCCCACGCAACTGTTTTGAAAAGGGCAGCGCCTTCGGCGGGCTGCTCTGCAGTGGCACTGGACAACCCCACTGCGCGCCACCACCCTCATGACCCGCCGACGACCCGCCCCGAGGCCCACCCACGTGGCGATGCGCTCGTTGGCCCCCTTGCCCTGGATGGGCAACACGGGCGCCCCGCCCCTATCCGCACATAGGGGAACAAAAAGTGGCATAAACATAAAAACTCGGAGGCCCGCGCGGATTCCTCGGATCGGCGCTGGGGCCCCCCAGCGGCGCCTCTGGCGCCGCCCCTGGCGCGCTCCGCGCGCCATGGAGGGGGTCCAGCGCGGATCCGAGAAATCCGCGCGGACCTTTGAGTTCTTATGATTACGCCATATTTCGTTCCCCTCAACACAGGCGCATCGCTCCTAACCACAGAACCGGGGCTTCTCACTAAGACTTGAGCAGGGACCGACCGTCCCGGCATTCCTATAGCCCTACCACGAAATGTTCTTAGAACCCCGAGATTTTAAGAACAAGCACAGTGTTCTTAGAACATAGACCCGATGTGATAAAACAAAACAGTCTCAACCAGAAATGTTCTACGAACATTTCGTGGAAACCACAACAGGTTCTTAGAACATTGTTTGGTAGGGCTATAGACGAACCATGACGCCTCGCCACTGCTTGAGATGAGGAAGCCTCCCAGGTCTGAAACCTCCTGGGCAGATTCCTTCACGCACACCCCCGCCGTCCTTGCTCCGCACTCTCCGCCTTCCGCCCCGCGTTATTAGAACGTTGCTTTGTAGGGCGACTATAGGCTATGGGCAAGCCAGGACACCACAAAAGGTTCTTAGAACTTTGTTTCGTGGGACTCTGGGCTGTGGGCGAGCCCGGACGCTTCGCCACTTTTTGCACATCCCCGAGGGCCTCCGGGTCGCCGCCGAGCCCCTCCGCCGGCCCCGGCGAGCGAGCGCCGCTCGGGCTGGCTCCCTCCTCGTCGCCCAGCGCGGCCGGCCTTCGGCGCGCAGGGCCGCCCGCGTGCGCCTCGCCCGGCGACCTGCCGGGAGGGCCCAGAGAGTCGAAGCGATGCGTCGGCTCGGCGGACGCGGAATCGACTCGCACTCGGCATCGGGATCAGGATCGGAAGCGGAATCGGAAGCGGCGACGAGGTCGAATCGACTCGGAAGCGGGAGCCGTCGAAGCCGGATCGACTCGAGGCGGAGGAATCGACACGAGGCCCGCCTGCTGGCCGCGCTGCCGCCCTGGCCCTCGCTGGGCAGGCTGTCGGCCAGGCAGATTGGCATCCGCAGAGCGGGCCGCGCGATTGGGCGCTCGCCCGGGAAGACGGCGTAGCCGTGGTTGCGCAGCCGCACAGTGCACAGCTCGCTCACCCGAGGGTCGCGCAGCAGCTCCGAGAGCTTCGCGTGGCCCAGGGCGGTCTCGCTGAGCTCGGTGGCGTGCCTCTGCTTGAAGAGGCGCTTCAGGTTTGAGAGGGGGATGGACTCCTCTGGGCCGAGGCCGCGGCGAGCACACTTCTGAGCAGGCCTTCCCCTCATCACTTCCCCCCCACGCTCGCTGCCGAATGTGGCTTTGGGGCCATAGCTCGGGTCTCCGGCGGCCGTTCGGGACCATCCAGGCACCCCCAGAACGCCCTCGGCGAGGCGCAGCTGCTGGCAAGCATCCCGAGGCTGGAAAACTGCCGAGAACCGACAAAGAAAACGTCCGAAGACCTCGAGGCTCGAAGCTCGAACCCGAACAGGCGGATGGACTCCTCTGGGCCGAGGTCACCGAGGGCACCCTCCAAGAAGCTGCGCAGCATGTCCCAGGTGCCAAGGCCGGCCCCCTTCGCGGTCGTGCCAGTGGCGCACTGGCGGTCTGCGCACCTCTGCTTCAGCAGCGACTGCGACCGCCAGTAGGGCACCACGGCGCCCTCCAGATAGCCCAGCAGCTTCTTCTGTGATATGGCGAGCTGAACCAGGTGGCAGACCTGCCCAAGGGACAACCCAGCCAAGAACGGCAGACCCCTCGCCACGAGATCTTGCGCGCAGGAGTATCGCCCGCCCGCCAGCTTCAGGGCGACGCCTTCGGGGCCCTCGAGGTAGCGCCTGATGGCGCTCCAGAGTTCCGCAGGATACACATCCTCTGGACTGTACACGTCCACGAAACAGTCAAGGCGGTCGCGGAACAGGACGGACCAGTCGCCCCCCTCCTCGCCCTCCACGCGCAGACTGAGGCAGGACTCGCAGGACGCCTTCAGGGCGGCGGTGTCGAACTCGGGTACCTGGCTCCCTGCGGCCACCGCGCGCTCCTCGAGCCGCTTACGCAGGATGCGGCCGTATGGCTTCAGCTGGTCCGCGTAGAGCGTCTCGATGGCCGCCACCACCTCGCGCACGTCGACCGACGCTGGCGGCGCTGGCGGGGTCGGTTGCGCCGCCAGGGCCCCGCTCGCACGCACAGCCGTCGGGCCTGCGGGCTGCTGGAAGTGCGGCAGGCTTAGCTGCTGCGCCGTAGACACGTGGACGGCCTGCTGAAAAGGCTGCTGGTGCGAGGGCTGCGATTGGAGCGACGGCTGCTGGAAAGTCTGGTGCTGGAAGGGCTGCAGTGGGCACCAGGCCTCTTGCTCGCAGCACTGCTGCGGGTAGTGCGGCAGCAGGCAGGCCTGCGGCTGGCAGTCCTGGTGGAGAGACTGCGGCGGCTGCTGGTGGAAGCCGCACGCATACTGCTGCAGGTGCTGGAGCGGCTGCGGCGAGGCCCCGAACTGCTGCTGCTGCTGCTGCTGCTGCTGCTGCTGCTGCTGCTGCTGCTGCACCAGGGCCGCGTCGGGGAAGCAGGGAGGCTGATGGCAGGACTGCCAGTGCGGGGCCGCGGCCACAGAGGGCTCCAGGGCAACGCCCGGGATGGGCACCAGGAACACCTGGGAGGCGGCGTCCACCGGCCAGCCCGCGGGTGCATCGATCGCCAGAGACATCATTGCTGAGGGCGGGCGCGACAGCTGTGCAAACTTATCACCTCGAGCGGGGCCCCGTCCTAAGCCAGATGGGCACAGGAGGGAACAATCATCGAGGAGGCTACCAGGATGAGAACCAGACGGCAGTCTTGTCTGAGCGGTTGCACGGAGATCTCTTGCGGTATGCCAAGTGGAGGAACAGATGCGCGTGGGGACACGCACACACACAAACTTGTAAATAGCAATCCGGCGAACTACAATTCCCCGCATTGGAAAATTAGGTACAGACGGCATCTGTGCGACTGTACCGGGCGCTTCCGGTACAAAGAATGATAACCCGTGCCATGAAGCAGATAGGAGCACGTCTTCGATACATTATCAGTGGTCTCAGGTCCTCCTGTGTCAAGTGTCCAAGTGATTGCAAGGCGTGCTCCGCTGGATGGGCCCTTGTTAATTTAGTGGTCGTGGCCGTAGTGAATCAAACTCCACAGATTGACCTATTGATGTAGATAGGTCGCGCGGGGATGCATGTTCGACGTCTGCGGCGTTCGCCGAGAAGGCATGCGAACGCACGCAGTCGTTCTGGGTGCAAAGGCCCTAACCCTGAAGCCGTCAGGAAATTGGGGGTCAGATGTGCAGGTGCCTCAGAATACTCAGCAATCTGAAACAGAGATCTGGGGGCGGAGGTGCAGAGTCATTGAAGCATTCAGGAATTGTTGGGCTCATGGCCCAATCATGGCTACAACATTAGGAAGGCTCGACCGAAAACCAATGCTGTAGCCGCTAAGATAAGCTGAGAAAACCTCGAACGGGACCCGTTCCGCAATACACTCTCAGTCTCAAGCCCGCGCTGGAGTGGCAGCGTCGCTCTCAAAAATAATGTAGCCGGCGCGCGGAGGCGAGAGCGTGATGCGCGCCAACGCATTGACCACCAACATGTGTTCCTTATGGAAAATAAACCGATGATCCGTACCGAGAAGCCTCCCTCAGTTCAACCACGCACACAGAAACGGTGTGAGACGTCCTATCGACTCCCTGATTTCTCTTTCTACTGACTGTGCACCCTGCTAAGGCCGCGTCCATTCTACTTCTCCCGAAGCTCGCTTGCCAGTCGGTCCACCTCCCAAGCTCCTTGACCCTCCTGCCTCCTGCTTTATGGGCGTCCCTTCATCGTCCTAGTTTGTCGCTCTCCTTCACCCATGGCGCAACATGCGTTGCTCAGCACTGAAACGGACTTCCTAGACCACTTGAACACGCTGCAGGCGTGGCTTCCCAGGCGATCCAGCATGGCTGGGACGCCTGGAAGTCCCCTAGGGCAGAACATTTAAAACTAAGAAAATGGGCATCACTCCAGACATGCTCTTGAAAAGTAACACAGGTCCAGATATGCGGAACTCCTACGAAACGAGAAGCTCCAACAAAACGCACAGGATCCAGTCAAGGTTCCTTGGCTTTCTTAACCGAAATCCGGAGACCCTGAAGGCGGATGCTTTTTCTCAAGATTTCAGATGGGCGAGGGAAGGAAGAAATGAAGGGGGAGAGGGAGAGGGGTGGGTCGGCCTCGCTCACATCGAGTCTCCTGACCATCTCCTCAGCCCGGTTCCGAAAGCTGAGCAATGCACCCCATCATCGATGGGGGCACGTCAGTCGAACATGGCGCAACATTCCTGCCGCGTGGGAACGTGAGCTCTTAATTGAGACAACTGCGAACCAGTCCGCCACAATGCCCTTTGGCACGGTAGAATGCCAGGAGCTGTCTGGCAGGGTGTCCGCAATATTTAGATGCTCGTTCTGGGGACCTTCCCAGAGCAACTCGCTCCACCCGTGTTTCGCAGCTGCGTCGAACGCCCGTCGACTGGAGTCGAGCTTGGGTCGAACCTGAGTCGAACCTGAGTCGAACTTGAGTCGGACTTGAGTCGAACTGGGGTCGAACTAGAGTCGAACAGATCTGGTAGGTGGACCCCAGGAAGGTCCCCCAAACGAGCATCTAGCAATCTTCTAATAGGGACCTCCCTCTCCATGTAGACCGCCATGGTAGAATCACTGTGTCCGATCTCACGGGGGCACGACCTGGAGTAAAGCACATGGATCCGCGCTTCCTAGGCCACGACCCCTCGTAAAATCGGCGGCGAGCGATGGGGGGAAGTAACAAGGGGGCGGACCATCTCAGAAGGCTTGGAAGTCCCCCGGATTTCTGCGGAGTCTTCTGAGCCTCCCCCGAAGACAAACGAATAACCTCTCAGCAGGCGCGAGGGCTGATGAGAAGTCCCGCCGCCTTCTGAGGAGGCTTTCTCCTTCTCACTTCGCCCCCTCGCTCGCCGCCGAGTGTGGTTTTTGGGTCATAACTTGGGTCTCCGGCGGCCGTTCGGGACGATCCGGGCACCCCCAGAACGCCCTCGGCGAGGCGCAGCTGCTGGCAAGCATCCCGAGGCGGGAAAACTGCCGAGAACCGACGAAAACGTCCGAAAACCTCGCAGCTCGAAGCTCGAACCCGAACTTCCCCTTCTCGCTCGCCGCCAAACAAAACAATACATCTGGGCCCACGCTCCCGAGCTTCCAAGACGGCCGAGGCAGACCACCGGGGCCGCGAAAGAGGGCCCAAGGCGGCCCAAGGAGATGCCCACAAGACAGCCCGAGAGGGCCCCAAGAGAGCCCCAGCAGAGCCCGAGGAGTCCCGAGTCGTAGAGCTTCCTCTCAACTGAAGCCTCCAAGATGCCCCAACACGGCCCAAGAGCACCTCAACATTGCTCTGTGATCCCCCAAGGCAGCTAAAAGTCCAAGAGAACCCCAAGTCACGACTTCACAACAGGGCCCCGAGACGGCCAAAAATTAACGAAAGGACCCCCAAGACTGCCCCACAGGAGTCCCATAAAAAGGGAATAATGGGAGGAGAACTGCGAAGACGATACAAAAAGCAACAACGACACGACGCGGAAGATTGCGCCACATCTTACGACCCTCCCAACCCTCGGGTCACCAGATGTCATACGTAACGGCCTCTTGCCCCCCCCAGCAGTCGCCACCCAAGGTGCGGGGTTGGCACGGTGGCGGGACTTGCCTCAGACAGCTGTAAACACACAAGACAGGCACACATTACTGCAGAACCTTCTCAGAGCCTGTGGTTTCTCAGCAAGGCCTCCAATATTCAGACTATGTTGCGTCGAAGCTGTAACAAGATATCCGATAACAAATCCTGCATTGTCCTGCGATGTTCTAGCCGCCTCTGCGGGAGATACACTGGGATTCAGCTTCGTTGCAACAGCCTCGGCCTCGTTGACCAGAGCCCTCTCAAAGCCGTCCCACGCACTCCGCCAAGGCAGCATCACAGCCGAAAGGAACGGACGCAAGTGCGAAGAGAAGTCTCGGCGCGCCTCTGCCTCGGCCTCGGCTCCCTCCTCCTCCCCGGCCCCGGCTTCGGCCGCAGCCTCTGCCCAGGCCTCGGCCTCGGCCTCGGCCACTACCTCAGCCTCAACCTCGGCCTCCGCCTCGGCAAGCACGATAGCTTGCGCCGCGCAGGGGCAGGGCGGCTGGAGCGATCCGCTCCCCCGCCATTCCCCTCAGTCGGTGCGTTCCTCCTCGTTTGAGTTATCGGCATCGTCGTCTTCCTGATCCTCTTCCTCTGCCTCCTGCCCCTCCTACGCACGTCTTGAGCTCCGAGGCCGTCGACGACGTAGAACAATACCGTTTTGCAGCTGCACCCCGAGACACACTTCCCCAGAATGCCTTGCAGCATCATGATCATTCCGCAGCAGTGCTACCATGCGCCCCTGTGCGCGGTGGCGGATGAGCAGCAGCGCAAGTGGATCCCCAATCCTCGACTTCTTTTACTCCTCCGACTCCCCGCCCTCCTCCCTCCTCCCTCCTCACGTCCCGAGCAGATCCGAACTTTCTTTCCGAGAAATGTCGACATGTGATGGCTGCACGTCTCTTGCGACTTCGGCTGCACCGCCGCCTCTGAGTGCGAGGCCGCCGATTGGAGAGCCCATGGGGCCCGTGGTCGACAGGAGACCGTGCGCGGAGCGTCCACGGAGCTTCGCCCCCAGCGCAGCGAGAGAGGGAACGACAAAGGCGTCCCCCTATTCCCTCGCCCTGCACCTCCCTCGCCCTCACCTCGGCATCGTCGCGGCCCATCCGTCCCCTCGGCCCCTCCTCCTCCCTCCTCCTCCTCCTCCTCCTCCCTCCTCCTCCTCCTCCTCCTCCTCCCTCCTCCCTCCTCCCTCCTCCCTCCTCCTCCTCCTCCTCCCCTCTCTCCCTCCTCCTCCTCTCCTCCTCCTCCTCCTCCCTCCTCCTCCTCCTCCTCCTCCTCCTCCTCCTCCTCCTCCTCCTCTTCCTCCTCCTCCCCGCTCCTCCTCCTCCTCCTCCTCCTCCTCCTCCTCCTCCTCCTCCTCCTCCCTCCGCCTCCTCCTCCTCCTCATCCTCCTCCCTCCGCCTCCTCCTCCTCCTCCTCCTCCTCCTCCTCCTCCTCACCCTCCCGAAACGAGCAGCTGCGGACAAGTTTGCACCGCTGCGCCGATGCCCTCGAACCCCTCCGACCAGCCGGCAGGAGGGGGAAACGAAACACCGAATGGCACAGAGAGCAGGAAGGGCAGACAAGGAAACGCTGAGTCGCATCGATGCACGTGGAGAGGAGGAGGAGGAGGAGGAGGAGGAGGAGGAGGAGGAAGAGGAGGAGAGGAAAGGGAGGAGGAGGAGGAGGAGGAGAAGGAGCAGGGGAAAAGGATGAGAAGGAGGAGCCGGGGGAGTAGGAGGAGGAGGAGGAGGAGAGGAGGAGGAGGAGGAGGAGAGGAGGAGGAGGAGACGGAGGAGAAGGAGGAGGAGGCGGAGGAGGAGGAGGAGGGAGGGGAGGGATGAGGAGAGAAGGAGGAGGGATGAGGAGGAAGGAGGAGGAGGAGGAGGAGGAAGAGGAGGAGAGGAGGAGGAGGAGGAGGAGGAGACGGAAGAGGAGTCGCGATCCCATAGGCCGACGCAGGAGGAGGAGGAGGAGGAGGAGGAGGAGGAGGAGGAGGAGGGGGGAGGGAGGAGGGAGGGAGGAGGGAGGAGGGAGGAGGAGGGAGACTGTCTGTGGCCTGTGGCAGCCGGCGTGTTCGCGTGCAGGGTGGGGAGGCCGAGCGAGGGTCTCGGCCCCCTTATGGTGTGGAGCCGAGGCCCCCCCTCGGCGCGCCTCGCCTCGCCCGAAGGCGTTGGAAGCAGATGGGGTTTTCGCCCGCCTCCTATAGAGGAGGGAAGAAGGAAAACCACTCGACTCTTGAAGGAGAAGGTGGCTAAAGCAGACTGGGCATTGGGAATCCCCACATACCTATTTTCAACGACCGAGGGGTACTCTAAAATAGGCTAACCCATGTTTTAAAGACGTCCGCCGGCTGTGTTGTTATTATTTGAGAATGCTCCTCCTGTGGAGGGACATGCCCGCCTGAACTCAAACCTCGGGTCACGTTTTCAGATTTCCCAAAGGGTTGGGGTGCGAAAGCTCCCGAACTGTGGGTGCGACGCGGCCGCGGCGCGGCGGAAGGAGGCCCGTGGGGGCGGGGGGGGGCGGGCGAAAGTGAACCGAAGCGCGGTGGCTGCAAGATAGAAAGACGGATTCCTCCTCCTCCTCCTCCTCCTCCTCCTCCTCCTACTTTGCGTTGGCCCGACCTTATGTGTAAACATGTGGCGTTCAAGCCTCCTCCTCCTCCTCCTCCTCCTCCTCCTCGTCCCGTTCTCTTCCTCCTCCTCCTCCTCCTCCTCCTCCTACTCCTCCTCCTCCTCCTCCTCCTCCTCCTCCTCCTCCTCCTCCTCCTCCTCCTCCTCCTCCTCCTGGAGTGCGTGCAGCGAGGAGGGAAAGTGCGAGAGGTGGGAAGAGGTGTGGGGGAGGGAGGAGGTATGGCCCGAGCGGGACCCCCTCCCCTCCCGAGGAGAGCAGGGGGAGCGAGGGCTCCCTCGGCATGGCTCTTGAGCGCTGTGCGGCCAGGGTGCATTCCGGCCACCCTGCCTGCCCCCCCGGATCTCCCACCCCCCAATATCCCCTCCCTGATGCGGTCTGGGGAGAGTTGGAGTCCCCGTCCTCCCCGTACTCCTCCTCCCCATCCCTCCTCCTCCTCCTCCTCCTCCTCCTCCTCCTCCTCCTCCTCCTCACCCCCGTCATCCTCTTCCCTCACCCAGCCCCTCCCCCTGATCCCGCTCCTCCGCTTTCCCTTCTCCCCATCCCGACCCATGTCTCTTCATCCTTCTTCGCCTCATCCCTCCCTCTTGGCAGTCCCGAGTCGGCCGGCCATGCGCCGCTGGGGCGCGGACCGTGACCTGTTCGCCCTGCTCGACACCCTGGCCCTCCGCAGCCGCCTGGTCATCCTTGCCACAGGGGCCGCCAGAGGGCGAGGGACCCGAGAAGGAGGAGGCATCGCCTCCTCCTTCCGCTGGACTCGGGTCCTCCTCATGCTCCTCCTCCCGCCTGCCTCCCGATGCTGGTCCGCCTCCTGCTCAGCCTCCCCATTGTCCTCCCTCCCCCTTCCTCCCTCCTCCTGCTCTTGCTTCTCTGTCCTCCAGCTCCTGCTTCTGCTCCTGCTGCTCTCACCCCTCTCCTCATGCACCGTCATCCCTCCATCATATGCCTTCTCCCTCCAACGCCTCCTCCTCCTCCTCCTCCTCCTCCTCCTCCTCCTCCTTCTCCTACCGCCCCCCCCCCCCCACCTGCCTACACTTGCCCCTCCACAGCTTTGTTGACAGACAACTGCGACCACATGTGGCGAGAACGCGCCAAGTCAAAGCCGTGCAATCCCGCGTCAGGGGCAGGCCAAGGTCAGACATGCAGGGAGAACAACGGGACCTGCACACAAACGCGCATGCACAAGCACACGTCTTGAGCAGGGACCGACCGTCCCAGCATTCCTATAGGCTTACCATGGCATGTCCTTGGAACCCAAACATGTTCGAATAACAAACACAATGCTCTTAGAGCATACACCCGATGTGTTAAAACAAGACAGTCCCAGCCAGAAATGTTCAAATCACATTTCGTGCAGACCACAAAAGGATGTTAGACTATTCTTCGGTGGGCCTATAGGCGAGCCAGAAAGCTTCGCTACTGCTTGAACGTCTGTTCCTCTTCCACGACGTTGCAGGAACCATGGTCGGACCTAAGCCAGAGTAACATCCTTCAAGCAAATGACACCCTCAACCAGCCAACCTGAAGAACATTCGAGGGTGCCCTCCCCCAGGATGCACAAGAACATCCAACAAGCACGAAGAACATTGAGGTACCCTCCTCGAACCGACATCGATCTGACACCTCGGTCCGACGGTCCAGATGGCTGAGGTGGGCCGCGCTCTGGCAAACTGCCATCGAGCTCGCGCCGAGAGCATTCGAGCAGAGGCCGTAAGTGGCAGGCCACGCAGGTAAAAGAGGCGTGCAACCGACTAGGCAGTGTCGCATACAGCAGCCACTGCAACCGCAACCGAAAGCAGCACGTGCGTGGCGTGTCGAGCGCCAATGCGACTCCGGCGCGTCGCGTCGAGAGTGCTGGGAAGTAAACGCAGGCGTCGAGAGCAAAAGGAGCAAGGACATAAGAATCAGAGGAGGAAAGGCACGAACCGCGGCATGTGGAGATGGCAAGAGCCCGAAGAGGAGAGGACGAGAGAAATATATACATGTGTGTACACAATACACAACTGGGAGAAAGACAAACAAAGAGAGAGAGAGAGAGAGAGACAAAAAGAGAGAGAGAGAGAGAGACAGAGACGAAGGACACGACGAGAGACGACAAGGGAGGATAGACTTATTGCCTTAGGGATCACGAGCAACCTGCCGTGGCTTGGTGGCGTGCACGAGGGGGGAGAGGGAGGGGGGAAGGCTTCTTAGAAGTCGGCTGCCACTTAGAAAGCGCCGGCCGCCCTTCTACGAAGCCAGGGGCGCGTCGCTTCTTAGAAACACCACAGCAGCTTCTTAGGAGCACGGAACTGCTTCTTAGAAGCAACAGACAGCTTCTTAGAAGCAGACACCTTGCTTTTCAGGAGCACGCCAGGAACAGCTTCCAGGAAGCGCAGAAGCTTGCGGGCGCCCGCGCCCTCCAAAAAAAGGGGGTGCTTCTGGGAAGCCTCCCCCCTCCCGCCACCCCCCCCCTGCGCGTGGCTGAACGGCGCCAGACCGCCTGGGCGCCGAGACATCGCCGGGCGGCGACGCGAGGGCGCCC